AACATCCAGGAAGGGGATTTGGGAATTCTGTTCGGTCTCCATTGTGAATTGGATGTTGGGATGTTGGGAATTGATGAAAGTGAGGAATTGAGGTAGAGTTTCCCTTCCGTGGTTCCAGACGACGAAGGTGCCGTCCACATATCGGAACCATGTGGAGGGTTTTTATGAAAAAATGTTTTAGACAAAAGTTTTATTGTTTTTCATAGTCTTCACAAAGGCGTAATCATATTTTTCAACAATGTTAAATTTTTTAATTTACCCCCACCTTCACTATTATTTTTAAAAAACTAAAAATTTTTTTAACGCAACGGTTTAAGAGCCTCAAATGCCAATCACATCCATGTATATTTTTATTATGATACGACGGTTTGATTTTTGGGAAAATCAGATGTATAAGGTATAGGCGTCGCGCTGTAGGTAGGTGTTGCGTTACTCCTTTCCAGTTGGACGAAATATGTCGTATGACGCATAATGCTGTACAAATATATTAAAGATGAGATATCATCAATATCTTTCGCAATATTGCACATTAGGTCAAAGTCAATCAATTTAAAACAGCATCAAAGTAAATCAACAATGAAAAAATAGATTAGAAAATCGTCACCTTACGCTTAAATCATTCGCTCGTATTGCGCTGAATGTAGTTATTATACGTGTTAGAAAATTTCACATCCTTCCGATTCAGTGAAAACACGGTTGGTCTCCGACGCGTCTGATTTCGCAATGGGAGCGGTACTAGAACAACGTCTCTCAGAACATTGGAGACCACTGGCCTTCTTTTCATGAAAATTTTCCGCGGCACAACGTAACTATAGTACGTACGACCGGGAGTTAACCGCGATGTACGAAGCAATTCGATATTTCCAACATTTCCTGGAAGGGCGCCATTTTAAGATGTTAACCGACCATAAACGTTTACGCGTTCCAACAAAGAGCCGTTAAGGCAAAATCCCCGAGGCAAATTCGCCAATTATCGTTTATCGCTTAATTCAGCAACACCATAGAATTCCTACCGGGTACGGATAACTTCGTGGCAGACGGTTTATCACGGATTGAGGCACTTACACTCCCGCTGGAATTCGACGTAGTTGATATAGCAGCCCAACAAAAGGCTGACGATGAATTAAAACACTTACGCGAATCTTTGAAAACCACCCTTAATCTTAAAAGATTTGTGTGGGGATCTCCACAGACGGAGCTATATTGTGAGATATCTAGGGAATCAGTCCGCCCCTACAGGGTGCGTTCTGAAAGTAGTAGGACTGAGTCGATTACAAAAGATTTATTGCTGAAAATGGTACAGCCGCTGAAAATTCTTCGAAATAGCATCCTTGTGCATCCACACACCGCTGCCAGCGGGTTTTCCATCCCTCGTACGCTTTCTGGAAGGCCGACTCCGAAATGCTCTTGAGTTCACGCGTCACGGCTTTTTGAAGGGCTTCCACCGACCCGTGGTGACGTCCTTTCAGCACAGATTTGAGCTTGGGGAAGAGAAAGAAGTCCGGGGGAGCGACGTCTGGACTGTAGGGCGGTTGCGGAAGGGTTGCGACGTTGTGGCGAGCCAGGTAGTCGGCCATTACGAACGCCGTGTGAGCCGGCGCATTGTCGTGATGCAGGACCCACGTCGTTGCGATGGCAGGCCGAACGCGGACGATGCGTTTTCTCAGTCGATCGAGAACTTCCACGTAAAAACGTGCGTTTACGGTTTGCCCTGGTGGTACAAACTCGCTGTGGATTATTCCTTTCGAATCAAAAAAGGCGATGAGCATCGACTTTTGCTTTGACTTCACCATGCGAGCTTTTTTGGGTCGTGGGGAAGCCGACGTGTGCCACTCCGCACTTTGACGCTTTGACTTCGGGTCGTATTCGAATGTCCAGGTCTCGTCCCCAGTAACCACTCTGTCCTAAAAGTCTGGATTCTCACTCACAAGATCGAGATTTTCTTGGCAAATCCGCGCGCGAGTTTCCTTCTGTTCGTCCGTAAGCACACGCGGAACCAACTTTGCACACACCTTTCTCATGGCCAGGTTTTCGGTCACAATTTCGTAGACTTGAGTTTTGGCGATGCCAAGTTCTTCAGATATTAATGACAAACTTAATCTACGGTCACTGTTCAACAAAGTTTTCACTCGAGCCACATTTTCGTCACTTTTGGTGGTTGACGTGCGGCCGGAACGTTGGGCGTCTTCAACTTCCTCTCTCCCTTCTCTAAACAGCTTATGCCACTCGAAGACACCGGATCTGCTCATGGCATTATCACCATAAGCTGCCTTGATGAGATCATGGGTGTCTTTGCTGGATTTCCCCAGCTTCACGCAAAATTTCACGGCGTAGCGCTGCTCCAACAAACGCTCCATGACGCAGCGTTACGAGGTAACTTGACAAAGGTGTCGAGTACAAGCGATCTACACTACGGAAGGGCTCGGAGCCGACTGCCGCGCGGTTCCAACCTTAGCTGAGACCCCCCTCCATCGACCCCACCCGGCGAAACCGCCGTCCGACCGTCCGCGTGCCCAGGAAAAAATCAGTCCTACTACTTTCAGAACGCACCCTGTATATCCCAGCCACTCTACGTCAACGGATATTTGATTTTTTCACAGTCCTGCACATCCGAGTGCAAAAGTCACTGATAAAATTATACCACAACGTTATGTATGGCCGAATATGCACCGCGATATCACGAAGTGGGCTAGAAATTGCTTAGATTGTCAGCAGTCAAAAATTTCGAGGCACGTCAAACAGATCCCAGAACAGTTCACTACACCTGATGCGCGTTTCGAACACGTGCACATGGATATAATAGGCCCATTACCCGTATGTAACGGATATAAATATTGTTTAACACTCATTGACCGCTTTTCGCGATGGCCGGAAGCAATTCCGGTAAACCTTCGGAAAACCCACGCATATGAAATAAGGGATAACAACACTCAATTCCCATGTATTTTTGTGTTCTGAACATGAATATGTAACTTAAACATGGCGGTCGGAACAAGAAACCCATGAAAACCATGAAAAACCCATAAAAATTATGGTTTTTAACATTTATCCCACCAAATATCAAAAATTTTGAAAAATGTTTTAAATAAAAGTTGTAGATCTCTTTAAAATATACATTTTATATCCTATTCATTTTTACTGTACGAGTGATAGTTTTCGAGAAAAATGATGGATTTTAAATCTGTCCTCTCATCTAAGCATGTGCTTTGTAGTACATATACGATTCCATATGGATTTGCGACTTTTCACGTGAAGCGAGATCCACTCCACACTTCGTACATAGTTTGGGTCAGGTTACATCTTAACAAAGTGGAGCCCCCCCGAAGGGGGGGCGGAACGTACTGTCTCCACGCATGTACTTCCGCCGTTGTACTGTTCCACATGGGTTTGCAACTTTCCACGTGAAGCGAGATCCACTCCACATCTCTGACATAGGATGGGTAGGGTTATTTTTAACGAAGTGGAGCACCCCGAAGGGAGGGCGGAACATACTGTCTTCACCCATACATTTTTCCATCTGCATTTGATGGAGGGGAGTGACTTATGTGCGGGTAGAAAAATGTATGCGTGGAGACAGTATGTTCCGCCCCCCTTCGGGGGGGCTTCACCTCGTTGAAAATAACCCTACCCACCCTATGTCAGGGGTGTGGAGTGGATCTCGCTTCATGTGGAAAGTTGCAAACCCATGTGGAACAGTACAACGGTGGAAGTGGATGCTTTGTTGTATTGTTCATATGTTCACAATATAACAAAGCATCCACTTCCACCGTTGTACTGTTCCACATGGGTTTGCGACTTTCCACGTGAAGCGAGATCCGCACCACACTTCGGACATAGTGTGGGTAGGGTTAAGTCACTTCCAAATAATAAAAATTATTATTAGCATTTATGTCTGTGTTTATTTTATTGATAAAAACCTTTTTATACAATATTTCCTATACTCTTCTTATAAGGGTTCTATCTAAACCCTCAAGTTAAGAAGAACGTATACGTTACTGAGCGGCTGCTCAAGCTTGCGCTACTGCGCATGCACCAGAAATCCCACGATCTGGGATCACTGAGTTGGAGTCGGGTCGGAACCGGAATTGGAATCGTCGGATTCGCTGAAATAATAGTTTTCTAAGTTCCGCCGGACTCTATTTCTATTTCGTCTCGGGGTTCTAGCTACGTTACGTGGTGGGCGTCTCGAATATTCGATCGCTCGGCGGGCCGCTTCGCTCAGCAACCACGAATTGTTTGTTACGCGTGGAGTCGCGGGGCTATCGTTTGACATTTATTAAATCGCTAAGTTTCACGCTCGCATACAATTTTTGTCGACTCACATTACGTTGAGCATGTCGTCGGCTTGCTGAGGCTGGTCAGGGCTGCTTCTCCGGTTTCCCTCGGCGTTATCGCTCGTCGGCTGCTACCGGGTGTCCGTGTTGTTCGCATTCCTCTGCTATTCCTCGTTGTCTTCACTGAGCTGTTCCTTGGTCCTCTGATGCAGTATTCTCGACTCAGTTGTTCATCATCCCAGTACCGCTGCCACCAATTTTGTTGCGGTGATCCCACCGCTGCCACCAATTTTGTTGCCGCGCCGCTCCGTGCGCGGTGTTTTTCTTTCTTACTCGCCCCGGAGGTATTCTCTTAGGAGAACCGAAAGGTTTCTTTGATGGGATGTGGCTGGTCGGAGATCACTCCAAGAAGGCACCGTCGAATCTCGCAGACTAATTTTATTTAGCTGAGTTTCACACAATTGGCTGACGACAGGCCGAAGGCCTGACGGACAAATGTTTAACGCGTAAACGTATGTTGTCGAATAACGCGCTATTGACAAGTGCCTCGATCTCGGGCGTTCCTTTGGTTTTAAGCCCGATGATCGAGTGGTCGGCGTTCTCGGTACTCGATCGAGGTTACTCGTACAAATCGGGTCGAGAACTTGCTGACTTCTTCTTCGAAATTTCAGTAGGTTGCGCGTTCGGGCCTTTGTGGCTCGATCGCGCAATCTTTTGGCTTACGCTATTATTCTTATTACAATTACAAGGCTTACATTGCTTGTTCGAGTACCCTCATTACCTCTTTATGCAATCGGGGCACAACAGTTTCTTATACAGGGTGAATCTTAGCTGCTGCGCCGGCCCTTTTACCATGAGAGATGGATTACCGACTGCAACTTTAGTTCGCTGAACGGCACAAGAGGGCAGCTGCTTGATCTCAGGGATGTTGCAGGCAAGTCGAAAACTTCTTCTACTTACAAACATCACGCGGAGAAAAATAATTTACTAACACAATATATCTTATGTAAACTTAAGTAAATTTTGTCTGTTATTTTATGATAAAGTTATTTTCTCTTCTATGGACAACTATGTGTTAAAAACACTAATTTTATTGAAAAATTATTGTGCGAAATATTTAGCTAAAGAAATGAAATAATTTCTGTTCTATTAAACCTTTTGCTGTAATAGTGAATAATTTTAATAATGTATAATGTAGAAATTTTCGTATCGTCATCACGTTAATATCAAATATGCAGTATTCAAGTAGCAGCAACAGTTTCGCTGCAATAGCAAAATTATTTTTTTTCGTGCGTATTATTAAAAGTCTATAATTATAAAATAATGTGTGGTGTAAAAAAAATAAACCAAAAATAAACATAAAAATAAAGAATATTTGCTTACACAGAAAAGAAAGATTAGCTACCACAGACTAACAGCTAACATTTTTTTTGCAGCGAGAGCTATTGATTTTGCAATAGTTGCAAAAGCTTTGTAATAGTAGTCAATTCTTTTGCCACTATTATAAAAGTAATAGCTCTCGCTGCAAAAAAATGTTAGCTGTTAGTATGTGGGGTAAACCTTCGGAAAACCCACGTATATGAAATAAGGGATAACAACACTCAATTCCTATGTATTTTTGTGTTCTGAACATGAATATGTAACTTAGAAATGGCGGTCGGAACAAGAAACCCATGAAAACCATGAAAAACCCATAAAAATTATGGTTTTTAACATTTATCCCACCAAATATCAAAAATTTTGAAAAATGTTTTAAATAAAAGTTGTAGATCTCTTTAAAATATACATTTTATATCCTATTCATTTTTACTGTACGATAGTTTTCGAGAAAAATGATGGATTTTAAATCTGTCCTCTCATCTAAGCATGTGCTTTGTAGTACATATACGATTCCATATGGATTTGCGACTTTTCACGTGAAGCGAGATCCACTCCACACTTCGTACATAGTTTGGGTCAGGTTACATCTTAACAAAGTGGAGCCCCCCCGAAGGGGGGGCGGAACGTACTGTCTCCACGCATGTACTTCCGCCGTTGTACTGTTCCACATGGGTTTGCAACTTTCCACGTGAAGCGAGATCCACTCCACATCTCTGACATAGGATGGGTAGGGTTATTTTTAACGAAGTGGAGCGCCCCCGAAGGGAGGGCGGAACATACTGTCTTCACCCATACATTTTTCCATCTGCATTTGATGGAGGGGAGTGACTTATGTGCGGGTAGAAAAATGTATGCGTGGAGACAGTATGTTCCGCCCCCCCTTCGGGGGGGCTTCACCTCGTTGAAAATAACCCTACCCACCCTATGTCAGGGGTGTGGAGTGGATCTCGCTTCACGTGGAAAGTTGCAAACCCATGTGGAACAGTACAACGGCGGAAGTACATGCGTGGAGACAGTATGTTCCGCCCCCCCCTTTCGGGGGGGCTCCACTTCGTTAAGATATAACACACTGTAGCATAGATATACAGCTAACGTTGATTTTTGCTGGCCTTTTTGCGTTTTTCTGTTCCTTTTGCGTACATGTACTGCAAAATAATACATGTTTAGATTTGGAGGACAGATAGAAGTCCATCCTTTTTCTCGAAAACTATCACTCGTACAGTAAAAATGAATAGGATATAAAATGCATATTTCGAAGAGATCTACAACTTTTATTTAAAACATTTTTCAAAATTTTTGATATTTGGTGGGATAAATGTTAGAAATCATAATTTTTATGGGTTTTTCACGGTTTTCATGGGTTTCTTGTTCCGACCGCCTGTCTAAGTTACATATTCATGTTCAGAACACAAAAATACATAGGAATTGAGTGTTGTTATCCCTTATTTCGTATGCGTGGGTTTTCCGAAGGTTTACCGTATGTGGTAGCTAATCTTTCTTTTCTGTGTAAGCAAACTTTCTTTATTTTTATGTTTACTTTTTGTTTATTATTTTTACACCACGCATTATTTTATAATTATAGACTTTGAATAATACGCAAAAAAAATAATTTTGCTATTGCAGCGAAACTGTTGCTGCTACTTGAATACTGCATATTTGATATTAACGTGATGACGACACGAAAATTTCTTCATTATACATTTGTTACGTCCCGCGTTTTTATTTTTGGTGTGGGGGCGTCAGAAATCTCCTGCCAAGAAGAGGAAAGAGAAGAAGGAGAGGAATTTGGAATTTAGTGTGTGCGTGTGGGTGTATGAATGAGTGTGTGTGTGAGTGTGGCCTGTATGATTAATTAATTTATTTGTTTGTACATGAGGTGTTTGTGTGAAAGGGCCTATAATAGAGGCATGTTCCGTGCCCTTTTTGGTGCGTCGATGCGAGGGAGAATAATTTTTATCCTTCTCTGAAGTGGCTCCACTGAGACCACCCGCGGGCGAGCGGTGGGTGCCCGGGCGATCGCCGAGACGGTTTCCCCGAGACGGGCGATGGTGCGGGGCCCGGGATCGAGGCCAGAGGTGCTCGCGGTGGAGGGGTGATTGGAGGCCGCGGCCTCCACACCCGTCTAGGGCAGCACTCGCCGGTGCTTGGTGGGGGCGGGCGCACCGGAGGTGTCGGGGGTTTCTCAGTGCGAGGGAGAGGAAGCTTGGGAGGAGGAGGAGGCTGAGAGTACGGGGGAGGAGGGTGAGAATGAGGGAGAGGAAGCTTGGGAGGAGGAGGAGGCTGAGAGTACGGGGGAGGAGGGTGAGAATGAGGGAGAGGAAGCTTGGGAGGAGGAGGAGGCTGAGAGTACGGGGGAGGAGGGTGAGAATGAGGAAGAGGAGGTAGTGGGTGGTGCGTCTTCCGGGGTTCGGGCACGGGGGACCTACGGGCATA